TATTCCAGCCACAAGGATAGAGAAACAAAATTTTCACTGGAAAGACTGACAACACAATTGAATGGGGAAAATTATCATCTTATGAGCAGAACTATGAGTTACAAGAAACTGCAGAAGGTTAAAAAAGGAGCAGAAGTAAGCTGATTAAAAAGTTTTGATTAAAAAGAACAGCAATAAAAAAAACATTGCTAAGAGAGCACAAGGCAAGGAACTGGAACTTACACACAAATAACGCTGCACAGACTCCACCATTAGAGAGGAGATAAAGCCAGAACATAAATTGTGTTAAAACGTGATATAACAGATATAGGTTATTGCTACATAGCAACAATATAGATAAAGTATTCACAGCACCTAACTTTTGCACTGTAAACACAAGTTCACACTGTAAAAACAGGTTCCCATAGAATATTCAACCCAAGACAGAAAAAGACCACAGGTGACCAAGACAAGGAATTTGCTGCTGCAGAAACATTTCTTTCTGCATCATTAAACACAACCAGAACTTTTTTAAGCAACTTCTTTTACACAAAGAAGAAAGAGACATTGAGTACAACGCTTCCACAACCTGATAAGCTCTGATACAGGAGGAAAAAAAAAATAAGCTCTTATGATCCCTCATGGTTTTTTACAGTTAAAAAAAAAATAACACCTCTGATTATCAACATGCTAAAAAAATAACTACTTTGTTGAAGGGCATCAGAACAGAGTGAAAGCACCAGGGCTTAGGAAAACTGCTTAGTGCCTCACATACTCCTAACAACTACCAGGTGCAGGTTAGCTAATGTGAAGAAAGACAGCTTTGTCCTTCCAGCAGTGTTTCCACCTGCCAGCAAGTGCTTGCCCTTAGAAAGAGGCAGCCTCCCCGGGAGGTCATCTAGCAACTGACTGCCACAAGACTGACCTTTCCAAGTGCACAGCTTGTCTTCCCTAATGCAGGCATTAGGCTGTACTGCCTGCTCCACCTGAAGCAGGGTCTGCCTGAAAGCCACAGGGGTGAAACATTGGTGAAATGTGCTCAATGGAGTGAGCACAGCTCCTCCCTCAAAACCCCACAGCCTGCTTTTCCCTCCGGAGGACACCGAGTGTGGCAAGGTATGTCCACCTTCCCAAGAAGCAAACCTGGCTACAGGGGATCCCAGCAAAAACACTCCAGGTCTACACCTCGGTATTTCACAGCTGCCTGCTGGGGTCACGGTGGCACACAGAATCATAGAATAATTTAGGCTGGAAAAGACTTCTGAGACTATCGAGTCCACCTTATGAACGCCATCGTGTCAACCAGACCATGGCACTGATTGCCACCTCCAGTCCTTCCTTAAACACCTCCAGGGACGGTGACTCCACCACCTCCCCGGGCAGCCCATTCCAGTGTTTAATCACCCGTTTTGTGTAGAAATTCTTCGTAATCTCCAACCTGAACTTCCCGTGGCACAGCTCAAGCTGTGTCCTCTCGTCCTGAAGCAGCAAAGCCAGCCCTGGAGCCGGCAGACTGAGGAGAGGGCACGGCACTCCCGCCAGGACCCGGGCTGTCAGCAGCCGCGGCACCGCTCACGGCGAGCGCTCCTCGCCCACGCCTGCGAGCTCTCCGTTCCCGCACCACCGGCACGGAGCTCTCTCCCCGCCGCTCCGGTTTTAGGCGGGGAGCTGCACACCCCGGCAGTGCTCTGCTCTGCAGAGCGGGCCTCTGCTCCCGCCCCGCCTCACGTCCGGCACCGGGCAAAGCGCATCCCCACGGGCTCGCCCCGGCACACCGAGCCCTCCTGCGGCCGCCCCCCGCGGCACCCGGGGCTCCGCCTGAGCCCCGCGGCCCAGCCCGGCGGACGATGCCGCCCGGGGCTCCCCGGTGCCGGTGTTTGCCCCGGTGCCGGGGAGGGCGGTGCGGCCGGGCCGGGGGCCGGGCTCACCTTTGAAGAAGCGCAGCGCCAGCCCGTAGAGCTCCTCCAGCGCGAAGCCCCAGCGCCGCTCCAGGCTCAGCGCCGCCTCCTCCGCCGCCTCGCCGCCGGCCTCCGCCGCGCCCGGGGCGCCGGGGCCCGCTCGGCCCCGCCCCGCCGCCGGCTCGCCCTGCGCCGGCCGCGCTTCGCAGGGCGGCACCTCGGCGTTGGGGCTCAGCGTCAGCCCGTCCACCGAGACCTCGAGCCGGTCCGAGCTCAGCACCGCCGCCATCCTCCGCCGCCTCCCACCCGCCCTCCGCCTCCTGCTCCGCTGCGGCGGCCACGTCCCGACTTCCCGTCCCCTCCGACCCGGATCTTCCGGGCCCGCCCGCGGCCCCGCCCCGCGCCCGCCGGGCCGCGGGATGCGCCGGGGCTGCGGCTGGCTCGACCCCTCCCCTCCCCTCCCTCTGGGCTGCCGCACCCCGGGAGTCCCGGGGACGTGAGTGCCTGCGGGAGCCGCCGCCGGGCACCCTGTCCGCGCTTCTTGGATGCTTGGTTGATAATGGTTTTCCAACAGCGATATCTCACTCGAGACGGGAGACTGCGGAAGCTGGGCCGTTTAAGTCTGGAGAAGACAAGACTGAGAGAGAATCTCAATAATGCATAAAAATATCAGAAAGTGCTGAGACTTTCGGTGGTGCCCATAACAGGGTATGGAGCAATGGCCGTAAACTGTAACACAAGAAATTCCACCTCAACCTTTTGCACTGAGCTGGTAGAGCACTGAAACGGGCTGCCTAGGGAGGTCATGGAGTCTCCCTTTGGAGACATTCAAACCCCACCTGGATGAGTTCTGTGTCACCCGCCCCAGGTGACCCTGCTTTGGCAGAGGGTTGGACTGGGTGATCTCCAGAAGTCCCTTCCCAGCTTGACAATTCTGATTCTGTAAAAGCCTTTTGGTCCAGCTGGAAGGTGGTCTGGAGCCTGCTGCTGACCTTGTCCTCGTCTCAGAAATCATCCTTCAGGCCTCATACAGGAGAGGGAAGAAATGAGCCAGAGAAAGGTAAAAAGAGCACAAGGCAATTACTTCTCCAAGAGCTGTATCTGCAATTAGCTCATTCCCTTGTGACCATGAAACACTGCTTACAATAATACTATTATCGTGTGCTGTGGAAGGGGAGAGAGTCTCTGCCATGCACGGCTGCAGAGGTTTATTCCCAGCTCATGCAATCTTGCAGGATTTTGAGAGACTGCCTTAGCATGGAGTGCATTTGGTCACATTTCTCAGCCAAACCAAGATTCAGGCTGCACACCTGGGAACTGGCACATCCCTGCCTGGTGGTTCATGAAGCTAATGCTAAACAAGACAGCTGCACACCTCTGCAGCCTCCTGAAACTCAGAGGGGTGGGAGTCTCATCTGTCCCCCCAAAGCCTGTGTGCCCTCTTCTTGGGTTATCCCCTGAAGTTTGTCACATTGCCTAGCTTATCTGCCATTCCAAGTGGCTTTGGGTCCATCTGTTGATCTCTCAGGAATGTTGAAGAAATTTCATGGTCACACAAAGTGCTTAGAAGCCTTTGGGTGAAAGGGACAAGAAATGCAAAGCTTTAAATTAAATTACTTCATTTCCAGTTAGTATTTCTTGAGAGACAATGCCACTCAAGGCACTGTTTACACATGGGGCAGAATTTGGTTTGGATGATGAGTCACTTAAGCTTCAAAATAAATTTTACAACTAACTGGAAATCCTTTGTAGCCTCTTCACTAGTATTTTTGTTTATTGAGGATCGAATGTAACACCGTATGATTTGTTTTTTCCTGCCAAAGACTGCAAAATGAGGCCGTACCATCCCCTTTTGTTGGTTGGAGCTCTCCAGAGCACACAGGTCTCTGTACTGACTATTTGGTGCTACCTCACAGACCAATCTAACAGTAGAAGAGATGATTTTATCTCCTCATACAAGCCTGCATCCTGCCTTACAGGTCTGTCACTTCAGCAAACATTTAATAGTTAGTTTATAAATAATTTCTATTGAAATTTCAGCTTTCAGAGTTTTGGTCTGACACATTTCCTGCTTGGCTTGAGGAGTATGCACTTCATAAATATTTTCTTCTGACATCAATTCTACACTTTAATCCATAGTTTCTGCTTTAAGAAACTAAGTTCTTTATCCTTCAAATGCATCCTCAGAGTAAGAGAAGTTGAAGTTCTGACTGATCCCTACAGATTTTTTGTTTCACCCAAATGGAAGAAACAGCACTTTCTGTGCTGTTAAAACCAGAGATGTTTCTGCTTCATGGAAAGAGACTGGCCTGAAACCAGGCAGCCCTTAGTTTGTCTGTGTGTTTGGAGACTGAGCTAAATCCAAGATGCCGATGAGCTGATTCTGGAATAATTGCAGCAAATCGATTTATCTCCTGACAGGCTGTGTCCCATAGTGAACGCTCGGTGTGCTTATCAAATGTGAGGCCATTCCTCTCTCCCCGTGCCAGCTTTCCTCTGCCATGCAAGGGGCACGTGAGCTGCCACCAGCAGAGCACTTCCTCCTCAAAGGGCACCATAAACTCTTGGAGAGATCCCAGCTGCAGACTCAGAGCAAGATGTCTCTGACAGTGCTGTGTCTGACTGAAACTCCTTCAGGTGTAGGAAGGGGATGGTATTTTAGGAAAAACTAAACTGTGAGATGGTATTTTAGGAAAAAAATAGGACTTTAAATCCTGGGACGAGTCAGGAAGTCCTGGTCTGGGATCATGTAATGACAAATGATGAAACATTTTTCTAGAAGAAAATTTTGAATTTGCAGTGATGGTTTTTTGAGCTGACTGTTCCCTGGCATGCAACCAGTATGACTTGCAACACCTTCAGTGAATTGCTCATCGGTCCTGTAAATGGAGACATATTTCCCACATGATTATGACAAAGAGTTCCCAATAATTTATGTGTTGGAGGAAACCCTTAGCTTAATTCACAGATAAGATGAAAATGCTAAGTTCAGCTAGTAAAATGTTCATTCATTTCTTGGAACAGCAGCTTCTGCGTGGGATAAGAAACACAGAAGAAATACAAGTCCCAGAGAGGGAGTCTGGTCCTGTAAATACAGTAAGGAATGTAGACCTAGAAAATTTATAGAGAATAAATCAATTATTTAATTCAAGCTGCTGAATGTTTAACAGTTACTACTCACTGAAATTATACAGTAAAGAATCAAAACATTCATAGGGCACTGGCCTCATGTAAACAAACAGCTCTTCCACTCTTCCTGGTACCAGGGCACCAGCCCTTTCTCCCAGACAGCCCTTGATGAAACCCATGTGCTTCCTGTGGCTTTGGCTGGCCTTTGGAGGAATCCCACTCCCGTGGTGGTGGTGTCAAACAGAGGAAGAACTCCACTTTGAGAGATGTGGCCTAATGTGGTGTTTGCTGCAGCAAGGGCTGCTAAATATTTGATTATCTCAAAGGAGCATCTCTGAGCAGCTGGGTCTGGCACTGTGCTATGGGCTCAGAAATGCAAATCTCTCACTCGGGAAATATTTTTATCGGTTTCTTAGGAATGACTACATTCAATAAACTGTGTGTGACCATCATTTCCATCCCTAGTGCTATGGTAGCAGCCCAGGGATTCCATAGCTGGAAAGGAGTGGAGTGCCTGGTAGGGAAGGCTACATGTATCTCTGGGAGGGTGACCAGATTAATGGATGAATTAAAATCCTCAAAGTTTGGAAATTAAATTAATTTTGTGAGTATTAACAGGATTGACCTTTTTTCATAACATGACAGTCCTATTCCTCTTCTTATTATCTTTGTTTTCTATTCATGGGAGTTGTACTGGCTGAATAGAACCAGGACCAGAAGGAAGAAAGTGTTCAAGCTCTTTTGGTTTAATTAAAGGTTTTCGTTTTGTCTGCCTGTCTTTCCTTACAGGACAGACATGAACTGTTTGCTTAGGAGCTGATCTGACATTCTCTGCTACAGTGTAGTGGACCCCCAACTCTGCTAGAAACATGAAGAAAACCAAATTTTATTTGTGCTTATGTCTGATACAATCCAGACTTAAAAGCATGTTTTTGTTTTCCCCTTATAGTTCTTTTGATCACAGTCATTTCATAGAAATTGACTTTGGATGTTGGAAAACATCTTTTTCCAGGACTTAGAATGAATCATAGAATCATCATTATCATCTGCCCTTGTTGCCCATTTTGGTGACCACTCAACCTCATTTACCACCAGACTGCTCTTTTTTTGTCTGCTTGTTGCTTTTCCTAAAGTTTAGGAGCTCATGGTGACCCTAACATACGTGTGACAGACAGCAGATGTTCTCAGTAACTCTTTAGATGTTCAGGACACGTTCAGCTCAGGGATCACACTTCAATGCCTTGCATTTTTGTAGTAATTTATGGTGACATTCACATCAATTTCTCTAACTTACTGTATGAGGTGCAGAATAAGTTAATTTGATATAGGATCTTGGCAATAGCTTTTTAGCCATGTCAGCAAATCCTGCTGAAATCAGGTTTATTGGCAGAGTGCTTGAGCAACTCCTGAGGAAATATACAGGTGCTAAGGTCCATCTTCACTAAATATTCCCATTCTGAGAGACCACAAACACCCCACAGCATGGAGACAGCTATCCCAGCTCCAGGTGACCATAAAAGAGCAGCTCAGCCTCATAAATGAAGCGATACCGGTTCCATTATCTCACGCTGATATGATTGCATCTGCTGCGGTGTAGTTGTGTAAACAGGCACGCCCTTCACAGGCAAAGGGCCTGGGAGAAGCAGCACAGCACTTTATCTACAAGTCTTTGCCAAATGAGATACAGCCAGGAACTGGAGCACTTCCTGAATTTAACCAACTCCTCTAATAAAGTGATTTTACAGAAGAGAGAACAGGGAAATTGATGCAATTAGCAACTACACTTTTGGCTATGTGCCCAGAAAAAAATGTGAACCAACAACAAGATGAATAATTTATATTCATGTAAATTCAGAGCACCTATGGATACTCTTTTGAAACACCCCCAGAAAGTGAGTTGTACCTCTGTGGCAGGGTCTGACCTCAACTAGCAACTGTCCCCAAAGAGGACAGAGGAGGCACACAGCTGACTCTGAGCTCTGATGCTCCAGACATATCCTCTTCTGTGCTGTGTTACATACCAGCTTCTTACCTCCTGTGTCCTTTTCTTTTTTGGCTTTATTTTCAAATGAACTGTATCTACCTTTGAAACTCCAAACTATCCAGAGGCATGGGAAATGATAGGCAGAGAGGAGATTTCTGTGCAAAACTGCTGTTCCTCCTGCCTCTCTCCTGGTGAGAGCAAGGCTGTGTGAGCAACACGTGGCGCTATCCACGTCACTCCTTCTATTCAGCAAACAGAAGGATAACACACCTTTCAAAAGCATGCAGTAAGCCTGTCCCTCTTCCTCTGATTGTCAGATGCACTCTTTAATGGAGAGCATGTGGCTGGTTCTCAGCTGCTCAGCTGTAGCTCACTTTTCTTTGTTGTTGTCTGGGGTTATTTCTCCTGCATTGAGTTAAATTGAGAATGAGGTTTCATTAGATGTCTGTAGCCCTGGGCTGCTCCCAGGGCACCACACACTCCCATCAACATCCTGGCTGTCAGCTAAGCTAGCTGGACCTCTCAGCAAGCCTCTTCACCTTTTAAAGCAGCTGGCTGAGTTCTCTGCTGGCTCAGAGGGCAGGCCTGCTTCACCAAGCGGTCGCTAAACCACTGGCAGCAGCAAGAGCATGCTGCCAGGAGCAGGGCAGCGAGGATGGGAGCAGGTTGTCCCTTTGGGCACAGCAGTTACAGCCATCAGCTAATGCCAAAGAGCAGTGGTTGCACTCCACCACTGCTCCCAGCTGCATTTCCTGCCCTTTCCCTTGCACTGGATCTAGCAATGGAGTGGCTTCAGGGTGAGTTGATCCAGATGGCCGATATGGCTGAAAACTCCTCATTTTTATGGCATAGTTGGTCTGCCCGTTGTCAGCCAGATGAACAGATTCTCCCTGTGGCTGCACAGCCACTAAATGCAACATAAGGAAAGCAGTGCAAATGGGAAACAGACAGAAGCCAGCTTGTACATAGCCCAGCTGCAATACCAAACTGCTGGCTAAAGAGCAGCCACGCCTATCCAGCCATCCTGCTGTTCTGCCAGAGTCAGATCACTCGATAGTTTGCTTCCTACCTGTGCTCTTCTGCTCTAATGAACATCTTTTCAGTACAGGAAGTTTATTTTTATCTCCCTTGTTCAGTATGAGTAGTACTGCACTTCAGCAGGCAATTTCAACCTCCTCTGATTTGTGGACTGCTAGTGGAGAGGCTGGCAGGACTAAATCTATTGACTTCCATTCCTTTGTGGCTTTTGTGGACTTGGAAGTTACTCACAGTGGCAACAACTATAGAGTGAAATGTACTGCACAGCAGAACTGCTGAGAATCACATAGGACTCACCAGACTGATAATAGTCTTTTGACATATTTTTCTCCTCTCATTTCTTTTTATTTCTTATTGAGGATAATGAAATCAGAGCAGATTATGGAGAGTAAGGCTAGTGAACAAAAATGGAAACTTTGAGCTAAAACCTTTTCAGTTCAGTTTCCTAATGGACAGCACAGAACAAACTATTGAGCCAGCACTTCTCATTCTCTCTGTCTGTGAGTAGGCTGTCTTTTTGGGACATAAGCAGTAACATTCTTTCTCAGTAGTGCAAGATCCTTTGTTGCAAGCCAGAGTCACAAAGCTAAGTTTGTGGAGGGGCTGCACTGGTTAACTGTGCCCTGTCTTGGCTTACAGATTGTCCTTTTGGAAAAGCTGTGGCTCCTCTCTCCATCACTGCAGAAGGCTGTATTTTGGTACGTGGGGGTTTCAGTGGCAATACTAGCTTGCAGTGAAGTGCAGCCTCCTTCCTTTTATACCTCTTCTCCCTCTCTCCCTCCTGGCTTCATTCCCAGATCTGATTCACAGCCCAGCCCTATAAACCAAGTCAGTACAATTGTCAGGGTGAAAGGCTGCAAGAAGAGGAGTGGGAATCAGGGAGATGGTAAAAGAAACAGCCGGCAGGATCTGCTTAAGCTGCCAAGCCCTTACTTTTCACCAACCCAGACTTCAACACTGTCATGTTTAGTACATCCATAGTCTGGATGTACTTCAGCTAAAATAGTCTGTAGTTTATTTACACACCTTCTGGTTCCTATCTTGTTGATGACTGAGAGGAATTGCTGCTGAAGACATCATACGTTTTTCTCTTAGGTACAGAGATATGTGAATAATTTTCCTTTCACATCCTTTGCTGCAAGATAATGAAACCTTTGAATGAAGAGAGGAACAACATATTAACATATAATTTAAAGTAATCATGAAGTTATCCGCTGGGGACCTCATAATGTACCTTGTTAAGTGGGGTCTGGGATGGCTGGCATGTGTGGGAAAAACAGGGCAATAGTTCTCAAAGGAAAAGCTTAACCAAGGTCAGTACATTCCACCAGCTAGATTCCTGAACAACATTCCCAGGAGAGAATGAATGCCTGATTTAGTGGTGATGCGCTCCTACACACCAGTCCTAAAGCAGCAGAGGTTAACAGCACTTAGAATGTCAGCACTGGCACTGTCATGATGAAAGGAGCAATTCTCTGGAGTCCTTCCGCCTGCAGAATCTATATAAGCTGGGCTGCACTCAAGGAGCCTTAGCAGTGCAATTATGTGAGTTAAGGACTGGGTCTTTTGCTGATAAAAGCCCTCACTTAAGGTGTAGCTACACACATAGCCACGAGCAGTGTGTCTTTAACCTCATTGAGATACAGAAAAAAACTGTATCTCTAGTATAGACAAGACTTTAGGATCAAAATACCTGAATATCTCATGGTGTTGATTATTACAGGCCTCCACGGAGTGCCCATCACTGTAATTCTTGAGTAGCCTTTAAACAACAACAAAACAATGGTATTTTCCAGCTAAAGAATAGGCTCTAATATTTGGAGTATTAGCTGACATTTCTTCCTAGATCAAAGGCTGAGGAAGGAAATTCCTTGCTGGATGGAGTCCCAGGCATCCCTGGTAGTGTGTCCATAGCCTGTTAGCCATGACAGAGCTGGATCTTGCTCATCCTCTCTATCCAAAAAGAGGGCAGTAGCAATCTTTGAGGGTTGTGCCTTATCACTGTGGTGTGAAATGCCTCTTGCACGTTCCAACCCCTCTCACTACGTTTTGGGTGCAAAAACGTAATTATCTCACTGCTGATTACTTTAGGAGAATAGTCCAGTCCCCTGGCTTAAGTGGTCATGTCAGGAGGGGGCTGATCCTGATTAGGACTCCCAAATCCCACAGAAATAAGTAAGAGTATCCAATATGATCTGGTTTGGTGATAATAATGCTTACTTAGAGGCAAGTAACCTAATGCGCAACAAAATATCTAACAATTTTCATCTTTCTAACTGTCATCTAAGAGACAGGAGAAAAATCCTTCAGAAGGGCTGGAAAGTCATGAAGATCCAAAGAAAAAAACTGTTATAACCACATGTGAAAGAAACAAGATGTTACATTTGGGATCACAATCATTGCAAAGGGGTCCAAATTTTCTTTTTATTTTCTTAATTTTATTTTTTGAAAGAGCTTCTTTTCCTCAACTTGTAAAGTATATTAGAGGGAAAAACATGTGTTTTGAAAGGAAGTATTTTTTTTTATTCCCCAGTGATACAGCACAAGATGTTCCCTTCTAATATGTTGCAGGAGTTGGTTTGATGATTCTTCTGACACCTCAAAGATCCAAGACTACAAAGAAGTAGTGAAAGGATTAAATCAGTCAATTGGTCACCGTGGAAGATCATAGCCAAAGAGTCAGAACACCAGGAGCCTGAGGTTTCCATGGCTATTGTAAGAGACAGACAGCTTCATCTTGGCACCTATCTAGTATTGCAGGACTGATTTTTCTCTTCTTTAATCAAATGGGCTCATGGCCAACAATTTACCTCACTTCTAGAAGTGTGGAAGCCACTTGGTTGTCACAAATCCTCAGACAAAGGTAGAGAAAAGCTTTGCAGAAAGTTTCAGCTGTCCCTATTTAGAAAGGAGGCTGCTCAATATCTAAAGAACTGAGCTCTTATTTGTCAAGGGATATAGTAAAATCTTAAAAAAATCTGCAGACTGTTAGAGACACTGGCAAGGAGATTATTGAATGTTCAAGGATTTCCAGTAGCCTGTTTCTTAGGTGCTGTTAAAGAAAACACAACCTTTAATTCCACAGCAATTCATCTCCCCCTGTGATATCATTATGTGTACTTGGCTGGACATGAAAAATGTGCCAGCTCTTACCTGACACCATATTGCTACACAGTGTAGCATGTAAATTAGTCTCTGTGTTGACACAAGTCACCTTTCTTCAACGTCACTTTATTTAAACAAGCATACGCTGTGTGTTTGCATGTGTATCTGTGGGTAGAAGAAACCACCTCCCCAGCCAGGTCCTTTTCCTGCTCATACCCTGAACAGCCAGGAGCCCTGGCAAGGTGGGGGAGCCCGAGGGGGTTTCCAAAGAGCCTTCAGAGAGTTAGGGAAGGATAGGCACCAAGGCTGCTCCCCGGCTCCCTCCCAAGCTGTATGCCTGGGGACTGCTTGCTTTCATTTCTGGGTGCCTCTGATTTCCTCATGGATCAAACATCCCTGCTTGGGAGCTGGGTGCAGCCAGTGCTCAGAGACATGCCAAGCCCATCCCATGGTGTGCATGTTTCCATCCCAGCAGCTTTGGCTGATGCCAGACTGTTGCTCACATTGCCTGTCCTGTCACCTCTGGTAACAGCCGTGTCTGGCAGCGACCATTTCCTCGCAGACTGGTGAGCTCACGGCTGCGCCAAACCCGTGTCACAGGAGTTGGCACGTCCCTTGGAACAGGCTGCTCCCCACCCACACTACAAAGGCCTATCTGCACTACAAACCAAACCACCCTGCCTGCAACATTGCAGCCACTTTGCACTGTTTAGTCCTGACAAGGATGCAGAAAGGAGCTGGAGGCTCTGCCAGGCAGGAGGGTGCTGTCCCTCAGCCTGGCTGGTCCCTCCTACAAGCCCTGCCAAGCCACGGGTCAGTCCAGCAGGATTTTCTTCTGAAACTTTCCTTCTTTTTTATGTAGCTGTTGCTTCCTGGATTCATATTGTTTGAGCTGTCTCAGCTGGTTTCAGAAATGGAATTGGATGTGCCACTGGTAATACCAGCTCACCAGATGGCAGGCCAGCAGCTATGGGGAAGGGGGAAAGCACAGCCAGGCTCATCTTTTTGCTCTGCCACTCACCGACTTCCACATCATTGTGGGCAGGTTGCTCAACCTTCCCATTTTCTAGTGAAGAAGACATATGCCTGGAAGATTTTTCAAAGTTCTCAACAGAAGCAAGTCCACAGAATGAAATGTCCTGATCACTCCTGAATGTTTATAGCTCAGATTTTAGGAAAAAAAAAAACAAAAAAACAAAAAAAAAAAAAAAACCCAACCAAAAAAATAAAAAAACCAAAAAAGCTTTACTACAACATCCACCATAACAGAGACCCAGCCAAAACTACTTCTCCAGTACTGTGAGGGTGTGCAGTGCTAGCACAATTCCACAGTCATTCACTTCTGTCTGTTCACTCTAGATTAATAAATCCAGTTTCCTTCAACAATTTCCTTTCCTGCTTCTATGGGAAATTTTGGCCTGGTCAGTGTTTTTTTTTAATACATATGGCCAAATCCAGTTAAGGATGAAAATGGGTTTTATATGTTGGGTAACATTAATGGACTTACCCCAGGCAAGAGCTCAGTTTGTAATTGTGTGTGAACAACACCCTTGTTTTAGAGCTGCCCAAAGGAAGGTTTGCTGCTCTGTTCTCACTGTGTAGGGAGCATTGATAGCACATAGTCAATGTGAGGTAAAAGTCAGTCAATTTTGCAAATCCAGGTAAAATTACCTTTCTGTTAAAAAACTGCAAAATTAATCAATTTATCTAACCTTGAATTCCTCCTGGTTTATGGGGAGATTATGTCCCAAATTCCTTGAACTATTTAATGATTGCTATTGTATTTTATTTTGGTTGTGTGAACATGAAGTAGGGCGGACTTGTAATACACCAGGGACTGTGTAGAGCAGCAGCTGTTACACTTTCAAAGAGCATTACTGAGCTTTTTATAGTTGGCTGCAGTTGACATCACAGCTAAATAGAGTCTTGTTCTAAAATATATTCCACCCAGCCTATGCAACCTGAAATCTAGGCGTTGCTGGGAGGAGAGAGGGTCACAGGAAGCAATGCAATACCAGCACAGAAGTAAAAGCCTGGGGATGTGTTTGCTTGTTTTTCCTGTGTCTATTAGAAATGCCCTTGAATATTTTTTTTTTCCAGGAAGAGCAGAAACCTCTGGAGAAGAATGATAGAGTGAAACCTCTCCTCTTGGGATCAGCAATCAAATCTGGCCCAGGTCAGCAGAGACCAACAGCTGTAATAGCTCACTGTAGGTAGTTCTCTTAGTGCCTCACAGATGACTGTCCAAACCAAAAGAGGCCAAATGCTTTTCCACTGTTATTACTGGTGCCACCAGGATGCTGCTGGAACCTGGGTAAAAGCTACTGTGCAGTAAAAATGATAGGAGAGGAGCATCACACATGCAGCCCCCTTTCTGGACTGGACCAGCAGCTTCCAGAGCTTTTGGGAGAGAGCTCTGCACTGTACTCACTTTAAGAAAATAACAAAGCTGAGTTAGTTGAACCAAAGCTGAAGTATATCCAGGACTCAAGTCTAGCCCCAAAATGTCTAAATCCACACTGTCCTTTCGTGTGTTTGAGTATCTCTACTACTCTATAGCTGGACATACCCCATGTGAATGGCCTGTGTTTCCTGGGGTACTTTCACAGCTTTACATGCACTGCACCTCCTCTCTGAGTCTGTGACTGAGGACTCTTTGGTTTTCAGGTATGGTTTCCTTTGAGATCCTAAATAACCTCATGGGGAAATATCAATATCTTACTCTTTGCCTGACTTCTGTTTCATCTTACAGGAACCCACTGTCCTGGCAAGAAGTCCCTCTAAAGGGCCAAGCCAGTGATTTCTAGCCTACTTTCACCAGCAAAGACTGCAAAATGTGAGGAGACAGTGCGTCACCAGTCTGTGAGCCTTCCCTGGGTGCTGGTTAGATGGCCTGCCAGAAGCATCACAGGTGAGACTTACTGACACAAGCCCTTTCACAGCTTGGCACTGTTTACTGTTTGTGGAGTGTGATGGCACAATTCCTCCTGAAAACTGCACAGACACAAGCCTCCTCTCTGCTGCAAAATGCATTATCCTCAGAGCCAAATGAATCAGCACATACCCAGCACAGCAGCCAGGACTGACCAGCACTGCCTTCCCCTTCCAAAATGTCAAACGAATTTCTGCTTCAGCATATGACACCAGCAACCACACAAGTCTCCCAGCCTCAGGGTTGTTGCTGTCCTCTTTATGTTATTCTGCCCTTCCTATTCATATCATTGTTCAACGATCAACTCCCAAGTGGCTCAAACTCCACCCAGAGGAAAAAAAAAAAAAAGCCATTATCTAAACTATGCCTATTCTGCAAGTGCTCCAAAGAGCACTTCATCACCCCTTTTTTCACAATTCATGATTTTTACATGCCTACATGGAGAAAACCAGCAACCTGGACCCACAGATCTGGAGAGGATTTCACAGGAGTGGCTCTCCTTCTGTTGTGAAAAAAAGTGAGTAAGTCTTTACTTTTGTGTGATGTGGTTGATGGTTTCTCCAGCTGCTGAAAACATGGGCCAGAGATTGAGAAGTGACCCTGGGAAGTGAGGACAGGGAAAGAATTCACTCAGACCTGGAATGAATGACCTGGTCTTTTGCAGAACTCTGTGCCTACGTTTTACATAGTCCTAAGTAAAATTCCCACCTGAAAACAGCTTTTGCACTTTGGTTAGACAAAGGAATCTGGTGACACTGCACTGGTTCAAGATTACATAAAGGCCTGGAGAGCAGGAAGCAGGCACCAATCCACCTCTGGAACAGGCATATTCTAGGAACAGTCCTGTGTGTCTCTGCCAGTGTGCCATGCACCTTCTCTTCAGCAGTGGGGTCACAGGCAAGTTACAGTGGCATTTGATGGGTGTGTTTGGACAGCCCAAACTTGGTCATACACTGTTAATAGCAACTTGCTGCTGTGGAAATGTGAAATGCAAAGATTTGTTTGGAATAAAGGAGGTCAGGTCGAGTAGATGAGGAAAGAGTGCAACATGCAGGGGTGGGGTTTGCTTGGCTGGGCACCTGTGTGGCTCTTAGGAATTATCCTGGTCCCTAAAGCAGGAGTCTGCTCCATACAGCCAGAGGAAGGATCACCATTTGGCTGAAGAGATACAAAATCAAGCTCTGTGGGCAGGTAGGATCAGTCCTTGGTCTGTTAGGATTTTTAGAGTCAGCAGATTCCCTGTTTATCCTGAACTGCTTTGTACATACCAGGACTCTTGCTGCAGTAGTTGATAAAAATACAAAACACAGAGGAAGGAGAGCTCAACCAAGAGAGAATAATCAAACTAAACTCCTTATCTTCTCACTTATGCCCTTATCCTGGCAAAATTTGAGAAAAATACAATGTTTTTGAAATGCCAGAAAACCATGAACACTGCTATGCTTGCACTGACCAAGACACACACGATGTAAAACACCCAGGTGATGCTGTGATTGATGTGATAGCCTGCCCAGCTTTGCAATTTCTAGCTACTGTCATAAATATTTTGTCTACAGCCATATTTCAGGCTTTGCCAGTGAGTGACAAAAGAGGCCAGCAGTAGTGGAACTGCAAATAGAAACTACACTGTGATGCTGCAGCACTCTTTTTTGATCACTCAGATGTGCAGCAAACCCTCAGCATTCCTTTAAACCTTCTCTTATCTGAAATACCTTAGGTAAGAGGTATCCCAGCTGCAAAGATGTGATTGCAAAAGAGGAAAAACGTGGTCTTGTAAAGATGTGGGGGACAGCTAAGATGACAGTAGAGAGCAGCTGAGATCACCCCAGCCTGGAGTCACTCTCCATCTTGGATTGCAGTTGTCACATCTGGAGTAATAAATGCATTTGCTCTTTGCCATGTGTCCAGCAGCACGGGGAATCTTCCAGGGGCAAGGAAGAGAAGCTGTCAAGGAGAAAAGTCTTAAATCTTCCAAGTAATGTGTAAAACAAACTTGGTCATATACAAAAGAGAGGGGTAAGAATCAAGGGGACTAAAAGATAATGGAGAAAGAGATAAAAATACCAATAAAAAGAAAGAGAAGAAGACCTTTAGTCAATAAAGGAGAGGATCAGAATAAGGAGGTGACAAGGGTGCAGCCTTAGCAAACAGAGCCAAAGTCAAATAGAAAAATAACCCTGCCAGAAATAAAAGCAGAGGAGTTGAGCTTGAATGAAAGGGGATGAAAACCAGCTGTCATGTAAAATGGGAGTGAGAGAATGAGCAGGGCAGCCCAGGGGAGCAGCAGTGCAGGCTGGAGGCAGGATTTGCCTCAGAGAGTGCCTTTGCCAGAGGAGTGAGCCAACACACAGGATGCTGTTGGACAACTTATCTGGGATGGCTGAGGCAGGGGGATGGGACAGTAGGGGAGGAGGATGGAGATACTGATCTGTGCAAATGCCTGGAGCTTCTGTGTGAGTCAGGCAACAGAAAACTGTGCTGTGGGCTTACCAAAGTCAGGATAACCCATGGAAGTAATGCCTACTGAGTGTGTTGCATGGCACTTCTCTTTAATTTGATTTTTAAATAGCAAAGAAATATGAGTCAGTTCATGCACAGAAGAGAATGACTTAATCAAATGGCATAGTAACCACTGCACTCCCCAGCTATGATCATGTGGTACTGCTGATTTAATGATCAATTGCAAAACCCCAGCTCAGGTGAAACTTCCCACGTTCTATCCACATGTTAAACCTGAAAATCTTCCAAACTTTACAGAGGCTTGAAAACCTTTGAAATTCAAGCGCCCAGAAAAAAATGCAAGAGCAAAATCAAAATGGTTTTGTTGTAAATGTTATGATACATGAGACTAAAAGTCCCTCATCTCTAAAACTGATCAGAAAAGAGGGTGGGAAACATTTAGAATGAATGATTAGACTGAAGCCAGAGCACTGACCTTGGCACATGCCTGAGAAGCAGCAGGGAAGCACAGGGAAGCCAGATGAAGGATTTTCCAGTCAGAGAGGGAAAACTTGGTGGATTTTAATAGCACAAGGGCAGAGAAAGATCATGGGTTTGTGTTCATATTGTAATAGGCATCCAACCATACCAGGACAGTTCTGGTTCTGTGTATTGTCTTCTGGTTTTGAACCATCAGAGCAAAACTTGCTTCACATTTGGATCCTTTTCTCAATAACCACAAGACACAAGCTGTAACAAACAAACAAACAAATCAACAAACATTTACATTGAAATCCATTAATTTCAGCAGCTAATGCTCTCAGATACCAAACAATGCAAGAAAGAAGCAGAGACTCTAGTGACTCATTTGTTAAGTTGGAATAGAAGGAAGAACTAACCACATGCAGGGGATGATGATAAGGGTTAAGAGCCTGCCAAGAAAAGGTAGAAAACAATGCCTTAACACTGCTTGCTAAGACTAAGGAGCCTGCAAGGGAAAAGTTTTTCATGCTGTTATCCAGTGCTGTTAAAGGAGAATGTAGCCCCTTTGCTATCCATCACCCTGCCTTCCCCTGCCACTCTACTCTGTGTATATATTCTGGTTGCACCCTGGCAGGCTGCCTCTCCTACATAGGTGCTGAATGAAAAGAAGGAAAACATGGTCCTGTCTTTTTCATTAGCTCATCCTCTCTTATCTTCTTCCTTCTTTCTTTTTTTGTTCATCTGCAAATATATTCCTTTGCTTTCACAGTAAATTAATAAAACATTCTTGGGAGTTCAGATAATGCCGTTATTTTGTATACACAACCACCTGCACCAACAGCTCTCAGCAAATCTTCATTAAGGAAAGTATCTCTAAGAGCTGGGTATGACCTTGTTCAGAGCATGTGTAAGCAAAGCAATATAGTAAATTCTATTAAGGAATTCTATTCTTGAGGTCCTCTCACAATATAAATTTAAAATTAGAGGGGATACAGAGAAAAATTGCAACAAGGATTTGTTTAAGCCTAAGGTTTGCTGCCACAGCAAACTTGGTGGGATTGTCCTCTCACTGCAGAAGCACCAGTGAGGGTCAAGTACCCTGCCATTCTTGGGGTATCTCAAAACCCAAAGTTGAGTTGAAGTTTAAGTATATTTAAATTCAACACTAAACATCCCCTGCTCTTTCAACCAATCTCTCCTATCTCCAGGTAGCTTCCTCCATATTGCCCTTTCCCCTTTCCCACCCCCACCATCTGCTCTTATCTCCCTCCCACTCACAAATCCTGGATCTTCCTCTCCCTCTGATGGTAGGGAGCCAGCTGCCAGCCATCAGACATTCTCTGCTCTTGCCCTGTTGCTGTGTCTGGGTCCTCTCTGAACCTGGGCATCTTGCCCCAAATCTGTTGCTGTTGAGATTTAACAAATACAGCCCCTTGATCTTTTCATATGCATTTGCTGGGTTTTTACGCCTCCCCGCCTCCACCACCGCTTCCTTCAAGGCTCTCTGTGTGTCTGAAGCTCTTATCAACTCCTCGGAGCAGAATACACGAATGGCACCACCAGGTCTTGAAGTCACTGTCTCACACCTCGCAGGAAATGGCTCACCCCACCAAGTCACATCCCCCTCCTAAGCACAGGGCTAAAGTCACAAGATACTATGAGTTTCTCATGGCCAAAACCAAGGGGACACTGCAGCTGAATTTTCAAAGGAAAATAGATTGTGCATATATAGAGGTAGTCAGGTCTGAGCCAAGCAAAGCAGGCATCTTTCAGAGAGAACATAACCTCCTGTCACATTGCATTTGTTTTAACCCTCTGTCTGTGCACAGAGCTGCTGGGCAAGCCTGGTGATGTGAAATAATCTATGCTGGGGATTGGTATCACCAGGTTCTGACACTGTTCTGGCTCTCCCATGCCATGGGCTCCATCACACCAGAGATGTGCCCAATGTACTTTTTGTACCAGTACAAAAGTGAAAGGGGTTCAGCCCAGCTCCTTGGTCACAGGTCACACTCAGGACACTGTGACAGCACCATCTCCCTTTCACTCCCCAGTGCTCAGGCACCTGGACACCCCCTGGGACAGCCTGGAGTGTGGCCAAGTCCCATTTCTGACCTTGCAGTAAGACACTGGCTGTATCCCCCTCACTGTGTCCCAGCTGGAGGTGAACACACTCCCTGGGCTGAGCAGCAAGGCAAGCCCCCTCTTCCCTGCAGAGGACTCTGGCAAGGAGGAGCTCTCAGAGACACAGCTGAATATCCACAATGGACAGGCAGCTTGGGCCTTTCAAGAATATATTTCAAGGCATCTGCAAACCATGCCAGAGTGAGGACAAGATACAACCCACCCTGCTCAAGCTCTTCCTTGTTAAAGCTGTGAGGACTAGAAAAATGACAACTCTAAATGAAAAACATGACATCATTTTAAGATCTCTACATAAAAGCCTGGATGGGCCACAATATATAGATCTTATGTCTGTACATTGGGAAGACCTGATAAACCTCTAAAAGCATTTGGAGGTTGTAAAGAGCTTTGTCACAATGACTGGAAGCAATCAAAGGAAAATTAAGTACTCATATAAAGATTTCCTCCTAGGCAGAATGAAAAAACCTCAAAACCTATGCCTAGCATGCATTAACAATTTTTGCTATCAGGGCCCTGTTAGAGAAGCTGGAAATTATATGGTATTTTCCTGCCAGCAGCAACTCTGGAGCAAATGTAGTTATATATGCAACCAGTAAAATGTGTCTGGACCACAATTAATTTAATTTGTAGGATAATTATCCAAGGATTGCTTCTTCAGGGACAAGGTATCCAGGGATATTTTAAACTTAACCCTTAACAGCAAAAATGTGGTTTTATTTTTTCTTAAACTTTTTCTAAATTAATGAAATCAGGTTTGTGTGACCATTGTCTCTTTTTTGGTCAGTCTCCTAATACATGGAGAGGGACTTTTTGCAAGGGCATGTCATGACAGGACAAGGGTAAATGGCTTCAAACTGAGAGTAGGTTTAGATTGTATATTAGGAAGAAATTCTTCACTGTGAGGGTGGTGAGGCCCTGGCACAGGTTGCCCAGAGAAGTTGTGGCTGCCCCATCCTGGAAGCGCTCAAGGCCAGGTTGTATGAGGCTCTGAACAACCTGATCTGGTGGACGGTGTCCCTGCCCATGGCTGTGGGATTGAAACGAGATGATCTTTAAGGTCCTCTCCAACCCAAACCTTTCTATGATTCCGTGATAAGATTTGAACTTTTTGGCCAATTTCAATTAAAACTGATGTAGAAATTGAGACCTCCAAGATACCAAATCTTTGCAATTTACTCAGGTTGACAAGAGACTGCTAAATCTCCACTTCTAAAAACCTCAATCTCGGGTTTAGTGACCAGAGAATTCACGTTGAAGACAGCTACCAAAAAGAAAAAAAAAAAAAAAAACAAAACAATAAACCCTGCTGAAATGACAAGACTGTGCACAGATTGTGTCTCTGTAGAGTCCTAGAAGGAACAGGGTGATGTGACACCCGACAAGCTGGAGGAGTTTGAACACAGCCAAGACTGCATAGCTGGTTACAAATCACTGCATGGCAAAACCCCAGGGGTCCCATTGCCTCCAGGACTGAGCAGCAGAACTTCTCACATGGTTAGTTATTTAAAGGGGTGTGTTTGTCTTGTCAGCAAAGCCATGACTGCGTGTCACAATGCTGCCTACTCTTGCCATGTATTCTGGGATGCTTCCCAAGCACCAGTTGCTCAAGTCACATAAAGCAGGATCTCAAACTGCACATTTAAAAAATGACTTTGTAGCCCTGAGATCCTGAGAAAACCTCCCCAGCTTGACATGCAAGAGGCTGAAGAGCCAGCTAGCTGGAAAACTCACCACAGGGCCTATCTCCCCCAGCTTCTCCACAGGCTTGGTGTTTTACAGCCTGTCTTACCCTTGCTGGATGCTCGGAGCTGGCAGCAGTGATGTGAGAGCACATTCTCCAGCTGAAGCTTAAAACTTTTTTATTGCAGGTACAGGCACATTTTTTATTGTGAGTCCTCTTGGCACAGATGCCTCAGTGCCGAGGCACTCTCAGCACAGACAAAAGCTCAACAGGTTTCTCTCCTGACAAATAGAGTGAAAATCAATGTAAACAGCTTCTGAAGCAGCTTGTAATTTTTCATATCAACACAGGGCAGTCTGCTTTTCCCTTAAAGATAGCTCTCTCAGTTTTTGCCATCTTAATTTCAAAAAGCAAGCCACTTCTGGACTTCTGTCACAGCTTCTGCTTCTCAAGGGAAGACATAAAATCTCCCTTTTTGCCTTGGTGGGACACAAATAAAAGCAAGTCTGCAAAACAGGAAGGAACAAAACTAAACGTCTTCTAAATGCTTCCAGCCCTTACCTGGGTATGAGTCCATGCAGATGTGGGCGCCTACAAGGCATCAGAAACTTCTCTGTCAGAACACAAGGGGCACAGCAGGATGAAAAACTACTTGTCAGGGAAAGGAAACTGCACTGAATCCAGACACAGCACTTTTTCTTTGCTGCAGGAGGCACACTGCACTACCCCACAGGCGCAGCTTTTAGGACATCAGTGGGATAATACTCTGTGGGAGCTGTGGAGAAGTATGCCAGCATTGGGAGGGGAGAGAACTGCCAGAGGGAAGCAAGTAGCTGTCTTTCATGTCATCCTGCTTGCCTGGGAGGAGGCAGAAGCCTCCTATTCTGATGTCCACCTAACAGCACGCTCCTTCACAATCAGTACTGTCCCCCTTGCTTTTATTCAACCTTAAATCTATTTCAAACCAAGCCAATACAGAAAGGTGGCCACAAGGATCCCATGGACAAAATTCGTGTGTGATGCTCTGAGCAATAGGAAAAAGAAAATATATTTCCTGGGCTCTGGTCCCACTCCAGAATTGCTTTGCTTTTGCAAAAGCACATACCACTGGTAAGCAGAAAAGAACTCATCACCAGATTAATGAACACGCTGGTAAATAGCCAGCCAGCCCAGACAGGGAAATTGAGGCAGACTAGAAGTAAACAGAAGACAGCACCTGCAGACAGGCAGCACAGCCTGACCTGCTCAGAGCACTCATCCACTCACAGGTATGTCTGTTAGAAAATGCAATTGTCTGCAGCCAGGTAATGAAGAGTCTGAGTGGGAACCCCCCAGCCTGGGGCCTGTGTGTGCAATCCTGGGCTGCACCAAGGGTTTTGCCCACAATTCACTCACACAGGACTTCCTATTCCAAACGGCTAAGCCACCAATCACACTGCATCCATGGACAATATGGAATGCACAAAACATAGTGTGTGGAAGTTATTTTACTTTCATTATAACAATGTAGACTTCTTAAAAGTCTGTAATTGTTACATCTGTGTCTCCCAATGAAAGTTTTCAAGCCTGGGAAGCCTCATTGTTCTTTTCCTCACCAAGGGAAGAGTGTCAGCTGCTGTCACAAGACAGCTGTTGGAACACCTCTGGAACCATAAAGGGCAAGGGAACTGAAGAGGCTTTTGGTCTGAAGGATGTCACAGCAGTCAGAGATCAAAGAGTCAGCCCATTTCCAGATTCATGAGTTGGGAACAGGTCTATTAGCTCCCAGTACTCACTCTTTCCCCGAGTATCTGTTCAATATACATTGACAGTTGTCTTAATGGGAAGTCTGACACTGAAAACCACCAAGCTCCTGGGCAGTGTCTTTCAGTTTTGTTCTCTGCTAGCTCAGAATCAGATCCAGGTGGGGAAGTCCTAGAAGCACCTCAGATGGGATCCCTTCATTCCCCTCCTGCTCCATCTGGCAGTGTCCTCTTGCTTGTACAGCTGTCCTGGGGGTATTGGTAACTCATAGGTAGGAATCCCATATCTGGATTGAAAAAACCCAACCAACAAACCCCAGCTGTTGTTACTGTACAGTTAATTTAACTCAGGTTAATTCCCCGAGCACACTGTGTGGCCTGACACATGCTCAGCTAAAGGGAAGGCATCAGGACAGGGATGAACAGTGGGGGCCTGTGGGTGCCAGCAGCTCTTTAAGCCTGGACTGCTGCTGAAAGAAAATCACATGTATGTGTGTGAAAAAACACATTTCCTCAAAAACCTGCTTTCTCTGGCAGCCTTAATCAACCTTAACCAAATCCTAGAAACTATATTCTTATAATGGTAAGCAGGATTAAATCCTTCAGAAAAGAAACCTCTGCTATGTTCTCTGGAGTATTATTTGATGTAAAATACAATAAATCATTCATCATGTAAACATAATCTGGAATAATTTTCTTTTGCTGCCACCTGTGGCATCTTTTAAATCTGCAAGCAGTCTGCAGAGTGATTCAACCCGTCCATGAGTTTTCCACTAAAAACCTTAAATAATGCTGTCTGTGCTTTGTGGATCACCACTCAGCTTTCTCACCACTGTGCCCAACTGAGAACATTGTACTAGTCTCATGTGCCTGACTGCTCTCTGCAGGCTACAGCCCAGACAGCAGATTTTGGGAACAACCTAGAAACTTCAGTCACGAAAGGATCTGGACTGCTGCACATGTAAAAGCACAAAGATACAAATGTTTTACAAACAAAACTTATAAAACCGGCTTTTAACAATTTTAACATGATTTTCTGTAGGAGACAGTTATAAAAAGTAGTATAAGGAGAAACCATTGTAAATGCCTTGGTGTTGTTGGGGTGTGCAGGCAGCATTTCAGCAGGAGACCTCTCCATCTGGGAATCAGTTATGGCAGAAGCACACAGGATGTGCCAGTGTAATGTGTAAAGGCATTAGCAAGTGGTGGAAAAGGTGATGACACCAATGTCTGCCTCTGCCTTGTCTGAGCTGCTGTGGCTCTCCAGGTGCATTTAACTTGCATCTTAAAAAGAAAGAGATGTTTTTGCAGCAGCAGGAAGCTGTACACCACACACACACACCTGGCAGCGAAGCACTGGGGCCAGGGGAAGAGATAACTTCTGTTTGCTTTGTCTCGCACCAAGCACGATCCATTACTTGCCAAAGCAGTCATCAGCTCGAGGGTATCTACTTCCACACTAATAGCTGGAGAGCGCGAACTCCATAACCCTTCCAGCCCAGACGTTGTATCAGCAATAACCCAGCCGCTGCTCTGGTCCTCTCCGGGGTGCCAAACTCCCAATACCCGGTAGTTTTGCGTGCGGATGCAAAGCCCGCTCCTTTCTCCCTCTTGCTGTCTATCTTTCGGACGGGGAGTCGAGGGCTGCCAGCCATCACCCACCCCGTCAGGCACGCATAGGGCATCACTGGCTCCCCTGGGCTGAGCAAGGCAGGGGCCGCCCCAGCAGGGCACCCCCCCGGCTACCTGGGGCGCGGGGCCCGGCGGGGTGCCCGGAGCTCACCTTCCCCGCGGGGCCGTGCCGCCCCTTGAACCCCCGCCCCTGCCGAGCCCCCTCCCCGGCTATAAAGCGCGGTGGGCCGTCCGGGCCCGCTCCTCGCCGCTGCCATGGCCGCGCTGCGCTTCGGAGAGCCCCCGGCGGAGCCGCCCGCCTTCCCCGCGGGCAGGTGGGCGGGAGGCGGCGGGCCCGGCGCGGCCTCGCCCGCCCTCAGGGCGCTTCCCCCGGCGGAGCCGTCCGAGGGGGCGCCGGCGGCCTCGCAGCGTCGGAAGCGGACCAGCTTCACGGCGGCGCAGCTGGAGACGCTGGAGCTGGTTTTCCAGGACACCATGTACCCCGACATCTACCTGCGGGAGAAGCTGGCCGACGCCACGCAGATCCCCGAGTCCCGCATCCAGGTGAGGGGCGCCGGCTGTGCCGCGCCCGCCGCGCGGGGCCGCCCCGCCGCGCTCACCGCCGCCTCTCTCCGCAGGTCTGGTTCCAGAACCGCCGCGCCAAGTCCCGCCGCCAGCGGGGTCCGCCCCGCCCCGGCCCCGCCGCGCCGCCGCCGGGCTGCCCGCGGCCGCCCCGCTTCGCCGCCCTGCGCGGCCCGGAGCGGCCCCGCTGCGCCCTGTCCGGGGTGGCCCGCACGGAGGACGGCTCGGTACCCTACGCGTGGCCGCCGGCCGCCAGCTTCCCCCCCGGCCCCGCCTTCGAGGGCTTCCCGCCCGGCCAGTCCGGCGGGGCAGAGCCCGGCCCGTTCGCGGGGAGCGCCGCCGGCCCCTTCCCGCCGGCCCGCGCCTTCTGCGGGCAGTACTCGCCCGTGTCGGACGCCGAGGACACCAGCGGCTACTCGGAGTCGGGCTCGGAGTGGGAGGAGAACGCGCTCGGCGCCTTCCGCGCCCTCTGAGCGCCCGGGCGGGGAGCAGTCACACACCGCGCTACCTCACCACTGCTGCTCTGCCACTGTTGCACTTTATCCGGTAGTAACTGATTCTACCTATTTATTTAAGAAAGATACGGGTCGGCTCCATCAGCTGAGGGCATCTTTTTACACTGTATTTAAAGTTTTCTTGTATCATGTTTAGTATATCTATTTAACCTTCTTTAGCCAAAAAGCTAACCCATATCCACTGTGTTCTGGGGGTGGGGGCTGGTCTTAAAAAAGAGTGATGGTCTGTTGGGGTTTTTTGACCAAGGAAAATAAAATAAAGCTTTACATTTTTCATCTGCTTGTGTGCATACTGGTGCAGGGGCAAGGTTTCTTACCTTGGCAGGGTAGAGAAGTGGTAGATATCCCAGCTGCAGGTTCTCCTCCCAGGTCCTGGAGAGCTACGGTTGCAGTTCAGATGTCAGTAAGAGACCTAAGGGGCCCAAAGGACAGGTTACAGAAACTGCCTTAAACTTTCTCTGTCAGTATTTGTCTTAAATCTAAACTAAACAAACACCCCCATCCCTAAATGAATATGGAAATGTCTGGCCTAATTAATGCAAACCCCGAAATCTCAAGTGCTCAGACAAAAGCCTCCAGTCTGCCAGCTAAGCCAAGGTTAATGTTAAACTAAGAGAAATGGGAGTATGTTGTGGACATTATAAGGGTGCTTTAGCTGTAGGCAGGGACTACACAGAAGCTGTTCACATGATGGCTTGTGGGCTGAATGGCTCTGCATTAAGAACGGCAAAATCAGTAACAATAGAACTCTCTCCTCCAAGTCAATTTATGGAGGAAGGATACATTACTTTGTATGTATTTTAAGCATAAGGCAAATTCTTCCTGCTTACAAAATAGCACTTCAGAGCCTAGTAGAGCAAATTGCAAGTTGTGGAAAAGCAGCTGAATGCCAGCAGCACAGGAAAAATTACCCATGTACTGGTGGCAGAAATACCCTGTATGAGGAATCATACCGCACAGAATAAGGTTACCAATGCACAAAATCCCTCAGGGCCACCCTGTAACATACCTGTGCTTGTGAGATCCGGGATAGCTGAACGCTGGTTGGACTGCAAGCTTGCAAGGTGAACTGGCATGGTAGGGTTGCTGATTAGTAGTCTTCATCAAAAAAAACCCCACAGCTATCATTGAAAAAAACATGAACCAAAAACCAACCAACCTACCTCAGACACCATCTGTCCCAAGTGGACTTGGGTGCTATGCTAGGGATCAGGAAAACCCCAGAAGACAAGCACTTGCAAGAAAAGATGGAAAATGAGACCATGGTTTCTTGGGGGCTCAGGGTAAATTCAAGTTTACTGATTATAATAAATCAAAGTAAATAGTTCTGCTCCTGCAGACTTCAGGTATGGTAGTTGTAGTGAGCTCTTGAGACTCCTGCTATGCTTGGGGTACACTCAGCAAAAGCATTTGTATTTGTTACTGTCACCAAAATTCAACATTAGCTCTGACTAACACATCAGTACCCAAGAAAAAATGCAGCCTTTCAAAGAAAAGAAAAGAAGTGCATATTCACATTGCCTACATGAATGGGACAAATGACATGTGAAAGTAAATAGCTTATAATAAGTGACAGATTCTTCTATGATATACTTAAACCATTAATTATTATTAATTAAAATTAATTTAAAATAGTTAATTAAAAATAATTTTTAAAACCTACAGCAACAGAAAACATACATTTAAGTATCCACATGTAAAAAGCATCATACCTAAGGAATCAAGAGTTGAGATTGGAGAGTGGTGGTTATTGCAGCGCATTCTGTGTCCAGTAGGATAAAAGGCTGTCATGAAAAGCAGGTTTCCAAATCTTCTGGTATCTACTTAGTGTCTACAACTTGTCTCCCTCTCAGTTTGGGATGTTTGCCATCAACAGGGCCAAATGACTCTCCCGGTGTTTTGTACTGGGAAGTCCTGCTGCTCAAAACATTCAGTGCACATGCTGAGCTTGAGTCCAACAGCAGGAGGGGTCAGAGCAGAGGTGTGCTGAGGGAGCGGCAGGCACATGAGTATAGGGGTGCAAGGGGATGGTTCCTTCTTCCCAAATTAGCTGTTGAGCAGATTACTGCCTGTCTGGCTAAACTTATGTACCTTAAATTAGGCTTTGGCACATTTCTCTTTTTTACATGAAAAGGGTGGTGGGAGAGGACTCTTTATCAAACAGATGGTAACACCAAAAAATAACAAGTGCTATAATTACAAAAGCAACTGCAGGGACCACTATGATGTGCTGTTGCATTATGAGAGGTAAGTTTTCCTGGGTACCTCAGCTAAATTACTGTTTATTTTATAGTATCCCTTGTAAAATTTTTGAATACCTTTTAAAATAGCTACTCACCTCATCCTCATAACATTTCATTTTCAGCAATTAGCTTCTCTTAAAAAAATGACCTGAGACCATCTGCAAAAAATTTTGCATTTTTGTGAAATATATCAACTCTCATAAGTCAATTTATTCAGTTACAAATTTCATTGAGAATAAAAGATTTATGCATTTCTCTTAATTAACAGAACAAATTTAGCTAAATATAAACTCTGCACTAAAGTTTTGCAGTGGCACAATACCAACACAGAATACAGAAGCATCTTTAAACTATACAAAATTTTAAAATTGAAAATAACCCTGTTTACATATTCTTTATACATTAACATACAAAAGACCTTATTTAATGAGGCATCTAAAAGAATCAAAAACATCTCTACAGCTATCTCTGAAAATCCATATCTGGAAACAATTCATTACACAGAAGCTTTACAAGACTATTTAAACAAACCAATACACACTTTTTACAAGATTAACATTCCAAAAGGTATAGGCAGGCTATCACTTCTTATTTTTGCAGTTTACCTCACTGGTTACCTTTAATTATAAAAAACTTCATATTTATGTATGGTGGGTATTGTTGAATAACCAGTAATCTAATTTAAAACTTGTGCAAAATGAACAAGAATTTGGAAAAACAGTAAGTTTAACCAGTCACTTATATAGAATACCACCTAAGCAACTATTGTCCTTTGTGAAGGGAAAAAAGCCAAACCAATCTCTTTCTGGAAAGTTAAGTTACATTTTTATATTCCTTCATTAGACTCCTTCTATAAGTTATGATAAATTAAGATTTGCAACAAGACATTGACTGATTGATAGACCTGCCCAACATCCTCAGTTTACAGTTTATGTTTGCTGGCCGTATCCTGCTGCTGCTTCCTTAGGTCAGGGCTTCCCAAGGGCTGAGCTGGCAGCTCTGAAGAGCTACACAGAGGTGTAGCTTTACACAACAAAGACCTGCCATGTGGCTACTAACTCCAGCCATTTCCTCTTCAGCACTTCTAACATACCAGGAGATCCAACAGCAAGAGGTGTGCTGAATTAATCTGAACTTTTAAAAATTAAGTTCAAATTATATGAAAGTATGCTTTCAAGTTTACTATAATCAATGCAATTACTAACAGATTACCAGTTAGCAAAACTACTGCATGTGAATAACAAATGGAGAAATCTAATGTAACGCTGGCCAGAAATGCTGGTTTCCTTAAGAAGCAGATAGAATATATTTAAAAGGGTCCTTTCTGAGAGGTTTTCTCTTCCCTTATCTTCTGGCAGTTAGGGTATTTGGTGAAGCCTATAGAAAGGAAGAAGATTTTCCAGAACTACTTGCTGTACACTTAAAAGGAAGTTTTCAGTCTCTGTTGGTGTTATTGGCTGCAAAAGCATGTAAGTTTCCCATCTGGCTCAGACCACTCTGAATATGTGCAACGTGGATCTCAACGTTATTCTGAAAACAACTGTGGAAAGAAAAAAAGAAGGAAAGAAAGAAATGTTGAACCCAATATGTAAGAGTTATGTCCGAATAGCTCTACAGTGAAAAATCAAGATGTGAGCCTAGCCAGTATAAAAATCCAGGTGAATCAGAGAGCAGTACATACAAATGCAACTTGACAGAGAAACATGGGAAAACACAACTTGCACAAACAGCTGCCAGAAATGAAGAGTCACTGACTTAAACACTTAAAGTAAGGTTTTAACATGACCAGAATTAGTGAAATTAAAATATTATGAAGAGATGCTCTAATGGCCAAAATAAGCACCATGAAATGGAAACATCATCACTTTCTTTGCTGGGTACATCAACCTTTACTTGAATCAATTCCAATATGCAATTTGCAGCATTGACTATAAAGAAGTTTCACTAATGTTTGAGGTTTGGTTTTGTTTTTCCTAATGAAAATTGATATAAAACAGCATTTCTCAATAACTATATTCAAATCAAAAGGCCATCCTACTATCTTTGGGAAAAAAATTTAAAATTCATGTGTACAGCCTCCCATCATTATGTAGCAATACAAGTAGTAAGGATATAAAAAAATACTTAGCATTTATGTTTATTTTCTGAATGACATCATTTAGCAGCATAAAATGCTTGTCACAAATTGCTGGAGGCTGCAGGGTACTCCAGACAAGTATCACTACACTCTTGCTACCACATTCTTGCTATTTTTATGATTCCTCCACAGTTGCTTGTGACAACTGTTGAAAAATGGCCCATCTAGACTAGATTAGCCTTTGGTCTGGCACAATATGGCTGCTCTTCTGTTTCTTGGCTTAAAATCTTGCCAGTGGGAGCTGATCAAAATGTCTAATTGTCTCATATGCCACCTTTTGATATTTACAGATGAGTATGCTAAAAGAATACTGAAATTCTACTGGTTTAAAAAACTTGTATTCCTAGTGAGATTTCAAAATCTGACAAAGGTTTAAAGTAAGTTTTTATATGTCATAAATTACTAAAGAACAATAACGTCTAGTTGTTGTTGCATCAATTTAGCACTTTTAAACTTTTTTTTTTAACATGCTACTTCACTGAGAGGTTCAAACAGAAAACTGCTAATTTCACACTCCCTTAAAGCAGCCCCTCTTTTAGATGGGACCTTTCCTATAAGTAGAAGTTACCAGATTAAACCCCTTAATTATAATCAATGTTCACCGCCAAAATACAGTAAGAACTACCACAAAGTGTGTAATTAAGAGTTAAATATTCAAAAAGTAATACCTGATATTTGAGGAGTCTATTGAATTCTTAATGTCATTTAATGAATCTGTTAGTGATTTAAATTCAAAGGAATTCAGATCACCTCCTTCTGCTAGACACTGTAGAAGAGGAAAAAAATGTTCTCAGTTCAGCACAAAAACTGGCAGAGCTTTAATACTGTGCATTGTATGGAATAAGCTATTTTGTGCAAATTTTTTACCTTAATTTGCAGTAATATTGCTGTGAGTC